GCCTGCCTTAACTGGTTCTAGCAGGTTCCTGAATTACTCTAGTGCAGCCCCTGCTCTGGTCACTCAGGGAACAGAAAACTACTCATCCAGTGACCAGTATATTTGCCCTCTACCAGACTCCTGTACCCCACTGGTCTGTCATAATGTAGCATAACAATAAGTATAATGATCTTGTTATGTTAGACGCCCTAGAGCAGTTATCGCTATTCATATTAAAGTGCTGCACTGTTTTCATAGCACTCCCATCAAAACATGAACAAAGTTATGTCTACAATTTACCTAAAAAACATGCTGAAAAAGTGCAAGTTGTTTTCAGTGGCCTAGAAACTCAGTGGGAACCTCTGAGGCCCTTAATGTAGAGAACATGAGTGGGTGGATTTTCCAAAGGAACTCTATACATATTCTTACCTTTTAGAAGTTGGTGCATATCTGGAACATGAGTTTCCATCCCAAGCGCAGTATGGGTCTCTGGCAAGGCAGCAGTCTGCACAAGCCTTCCCATACGTGTGACATCTGTGCAGGGAGAGCTGAACCAATCCATCTTTGGAACCAATGTACAATTGTTGCTGCAAATCAGGCAAGGCGAATGAATTAGAAGTATTCTTCAAGCAATTATTTTACATGCTCTCTTTCTTGCTACCACCCTTGCAATCTTTCAATCTTGGCCCAGATTGTATTAAACGGGAGAGAATTTCACATTCATTGTAAAATGTTTCTCAGGGCAATGTGTGCACTGGCCAGTCTCCATCCATTACAGATAACATGATGTTGGAAAGGAGCTATGGAACTGGAAGGACAAGGATCTAAAGCACTGGTAGGATGTTCACATGAATTTACAATATCAAAAATGAGCAGCAATCCACAACAAAAGTAACTTTACTAATAATTTGATAGAGGAAGATAGATCTTGATGTTAAGCTCAACTGCCATGGGGCGCATTTCTGGTTTATGTCTTATGTTCCTAAAAGCTCATGCTTCAGAGTTTCAGACGGTCACCTGCACAGGTCAGGAAGGGATTTCCCCCCCATCCAATGTATTTTTTCATCTCCTTCCTCTGAAGCATCAGGGATGGCCCTGGCTGGAGATAGGATATTGGATAAGGTGATTCAGGGCTCTGAGGTGACATTGAGCATTCTCTCTCTCAGGTGCTTGGCTGGCTGATTCTTGCTCACAGTGTCTAACTGACTGTCACATGTGAGGTTGCAAAGGAATTTTTCCCCAGGTCAGATTAGCAGTGACCTTGGGGCTTTTTGTCTTTCTCTGCAGCATGTAGGTGCAGGTCACTTGCTAGGATTACCTGGGTATATCTCACCTAATCATTTCCCTGCCATTGCAGGGACCTCAGGTACTGTGCACCTCAGGCTCTCGCCTACTCTCTGCCTGTAGCACATAACAGTTCAGTTTCCTGTGAGCTGTAATACTTTGTTCTAATTTCAGTCTAATTGGGTTTAGTGTGCGGGTCCTGGGTGGTGTCGGTGGCCTGTAACATACAGGAGGTCAGACTAGATGGTTTGGTAGATGGCCTGTAACACACAGGAGGTCAGACTAGATGGTTTGGTGGTCCCTTTGGCTTTAAACTATGACACTGACCTGGAATTCGGGATATCTGGATGACCTCGGGCAAATAATTTTCCCTCTCTGTGCCTCAGTTCAGTATTTAAAATGGGGAATAATAATACTTCCTTTCTCCCACCTTTTGTGACTTGTGTAGTTAGACTGTAAACTCACAGATTGGGGACTGCCTCTTACTATGTGTACATAGCCTGGCACCGTGGGGCCCTAATCCCTATTTGGGATCCCTGGTTGTGCTGCTTGTAATACCACTACTATAACCAATAATAAAATAATAATAATGTTTTGTTGAATTAATAGATTATACAGAGTCAAATTTTTGTTGTATGTGGAAAATATTTGTGTTAACTTAATTCACAAATCCCACATCCATATGACTAAGGATTTGTATCCATGAGTAATTACCAGTTTGGGCATACAAACTATTATTTGCAAGCAAATGTTAATTTTCCAGGCAAATTAGTTCACACTATACTTTCCAGATGCAGCTTAAGTGGCAGCCTTTGAAAGTTTGGCAAATAAGCAACAGATGTCACCAGCAAAGCAACAAGCTAAATGCTCAAAATACCAAACTATTCATGTGAATTAAACAAGTGTGTGAATTACCTGCTTCAGGGACATCTCCATAGTTGAGATAAATGATGGATGCTGAAAAATGAATGAGTGAATGTCAGTGTAACTATTCATTGACATTTGCTTCTGTCTTTAATAGAAAAGACGACATATCTTAACACCTACTACAAGAAAATAAAGAAAACTACAGATCAATTTAATTGGTTTATCCAGATGTGAAAAAATATCAGAAATAAGGAAATACCTGCTTCCAGAAATACATGCCAGCAAATATGTTCTGCTACTTGCCAGTAGATGATTTCTATCCAGGAAGATTGTAATTCACACTGCACAGAGGACCAGCACTAGGTCTAAAAATTCCATTTAAGCACTATTTTGAAGGCTTAAATGGGACTTAAGGGATGCATAGGTTGCTCCTCTGCACCAAGGGTGAATTTTACCTCTAGTGAAGTCAATGGAAGTTGTGCCAATGACTGTAGGAAGAACAGGATGGTCCTGGTATATTATTTATGCTCTATCACATAATGCAACATCTAAGCCTATTGTTTAATTTTGATGTGGCTTTAGGAATAAGGAATGGTTTGCAGCTGCTCTTTCCTCTTCAATTTTCCATATTAAAAAAAATGTAGAGATAACATTTATAAAGTGGAGGAATGTCTGCTAAGCAAACCCCAAATCTTTTAGTGTTAAATATGATATGGCATGTTTGCCCTTGACGTTATGGTATAAGAATGCAGCAAATTGGTGTACATACTGAAACTCCTGATTACTTGGCAGACTGTTGAGCAATCTTGGTATTTTCAAAGAAATATTTATAATTGGTGTTCAAGGCAGTGGAAAGAGGACATTGAGAGCCTTTAAATCAAGAGGATTCTCATCCTATAGATGATGTATTAAAAGGCACATAGAGAGATTAACTCAGTAATATCAGTTTTACAGAGCCTGTACTAGTTCTGGGTGAACTCATTGTGTCTGATTTCAAACTCACTTGATCATTGTGATTAGAAAGATCGACTACGACCCCACTGTTCTTTGGCTTGCACTGCACTTAGGAGAGAATCTATGAAAAAAGGGCAGATGGTGGGGAGAAAGGAAAACACTAACGAAAGAGTAAGGTGAAAAATGAAGTAGAGCTGGATGCAATGAAAAGGGAACAGCGAAAGACTGCCAAAAAGGAGGAGAGAGAAACACTGGAATGAAAAAATAAATCAGAAGGCACATTCTATTCTCCATTACACTGGTGTAAATCCAAATCAACTCAACTGCCATCAACAGAGTTCATCAGGATTTATGTCAGTGTAATAGAGAGCAGAATTTGGCCCAATATAGATACCATTTATAAGGCAACTCACTGGAGCTGGCCTGACTCTCTCTGACATTCTACCAGCATTGCCAACCCCACCCACACAAAAACCTTGAATCAGGCTCCAGAATAAAACCACCGCAAAACAAAACAAATCAAGAGACTGATTCAAAAATCATTAGACTTTAAACAATAGCAGATATTTCCTTCATTTTATTTGCCTTGTGGTTTTTGTTTGATTTGTTTTTAACCTTTGTTCGTGTTTCAAGGTTTTCTCCACAACCATGAGGGTTGAAAACATTTTTTAAGTGATAACGGGGATTGTAGGACTCCAGAAGCTGAGGCTTTAAGAAAAACACTAAAAATCACGCAGTGTTGGTGAGATGGCTGAGAAAACTGTGAGTTGGCAGCAGTGTTGTACATAAAAAAGACTTCCTAGGAGCTTGAAAATTGATGTGCTCTTTGATTCAATCATCTTTGGAAAACCAAAGGATCTCAATGTTAAAAATAAAATAAGTTCGGGAACTTGCATTAGTTCTGAGAAATGAATTGCTTCAGAGGTTAAACTCCACAAGGCTTAAAACTCCCCTAAACTATTCTCTGATGCTGTTCAAACACTCAGTGGCTGTTAAAGCTTACCTTGAAAATCTGCAGCTCTTCCAGTACTACCTCCTCCATAGTCCACTTCTCCTTTGTAATACTCACAACCTTCAGTACCGTTCCTGTGTCTGAAACAAAGATATGTAGTATACAAAGCAGTGCTTGTGTTTCAGTATTTAAGTACAGTTCTGTTTCTAACTGACTTCATATTGACTCCCCTTCCCATTCTTTTTCTAAGTGATGCTCTAAACTTCAGTTAGAAAGAAGATAAAAAAAGGAAACTAGACATCAGAGATCATGCTTAATGTAACCAGGAATTTGCTTTCTAAATACATCTACCTGTATGGCCCCCATCACTATAATGTCTGCGCAACTCACAATTTTTAATGTATTTAACCTCAGAATACTCTGAGACAGTGCTATTATCCCCATTTTACAGATGGGGAACTGAAGCACAGCAAGACTTGCCCAATCTCACAACAGAAATGTGTGGGGGAAGCATGGAATTGAACTAAGATCTATTGAGTCCCATTCAAGTGCCTTAGCTAGTGGGTCATCCTTCTTTTTCAGTAAGAACTTATCTATTTAAACAGTTTTAGGGACTATAAAGGGCCTAAAGTCCTTTGCTGAATAGGGGGTCTTAGTGACTACCTATGCAGCATGGTGTGATCAGACTTAAAACGGAATTGAAGTGCTTTTAAAATTACTCTAAACAGTTGTTTAAGATCCCAAAGCATTAAGGCTGGAACCTCACACCTGCTGAGGCCCAAATGTGGGACGTGTCATGTGACACTGACCCAAAGTCAGGGATACAGAAATGTTACTCATGCAAGAGATTTAAATCACAACGGGAGCCCTTATTTTAATGTAAATGAATCTTTGGATCACCACAGCTCCACAATTCTGCATTTCTGCTGTAAATAAATTCCAGTCATAATAGTGAAGGGACACCAAAGCTGTGTGACATTTACGTATTTGGGATTGCAATGAGTGACACCCCTGAAAATGAAGCCCAGTTGAGAGGTGTGTCTGAACAAGGCCCTTTGCAACTCTCACATCCCACTTGGCCCTAACAGGGGACTCATGAGCTGCATAAAGCCCTGTGTGTGGGTTGCACGTTTTCCTGACAGAATACAGTGCACATAGGGAGGCAGGTTGGAAGTCTAGTGAACTGAGCGTTAGGCATGCTGGAGTTCTAACCCCACCTCTGTCATTGACTCCCTGGGTGGCTTTCAGAAACTCTGTGCCTCAGTTTTCTGACCTCAGCAGAAATTACAATGCCTCCCTACCTCAAAGGGAAGATAAAATACATTGACATTTGCCAATCCCTATTAAAGATATCAGGCTTGATCATCTCCTGGAACTCCCCAGTGCTGTACATTCCAGTTGGTGGAGTCCCACCACTGCAAGGGAGCTAGCCAACCCTGCCCCCAAAACACACAGGCTGGTGAAGGGCATGGCCAGGATGTCTGGAAGATGCAAGGCAGGACTGAATCAAGCCCATTCAGTACTAAATATTATATGTAGTATTAAAACAACAAATACATACATTTTAAAGCAAAGTAGGAGACTACAGCTGATGACATCCCTAGCACTTTAAGTGGAAGTTACAAAATGTCACTACCTGCCTTCTGTGTTAGTAATGTCCATACTCTTATCTAGGGTTGCATAGATACAAAGGGCTGCAGCTGGAATATCTATACATAACAGGCAGCCTTTCTAAATTCTCTAGTAGCATTGGTTGAACACAGTCAAACATATTTTAAGCTCCTGATCTTCTGGTGACCAAAACCTCCCGAGTTATTTGGTGTATTTTTATGCACTCATTATATAATGTTTCAAATATTATCTTTCAGCCTGAATATCCACAGGATAGATTTAAAATATAAAATGAAATAAAACCATGAATTCTGGGGAAAAAAAGAGCTCACTTCATAATTAAAAGGTGCTGGCGCTGATAATTTTCTCTCTATTCAAATTATGGAGCACCACCTAGTGACTACATGGTACCTAGCAACCTTCAAATCTCTACACTAAAGAAGAATTACAAAGAAGAATTAGATGTCAGTGCTATCTATCAATACCTAAACCAACAGGCGGTTATTGATTTAATATAAGTTCATTTTGTATGAAAACCTACTGCAATAGAGAATAGCACAAAACTGACTGCAAATTCTAGAACACACCAAAATAATATTCCATGTGTTAGGCAGCAAATCTACCTTTTCTGAATGGATGTTTAATTTTTTCATAACTTTTCAGCATGTGTAACGTGAATGATTATGTGTGTGCATGTTGTGTGTATGCTTCAGATGTATATTTTATACTTGAATTGTAGGGGTTTCATGGTATTTGAAAGTGCATGATTGCTTTCCTCCTTTCATTGCTGTCAGAAAGACTTCATTCAGAGAGGCAAAGCAATGAAGGTCCTCCAAGATTGGGGCAGTGCTTGTTCCTGGACAGCCAACTGTGCTGTGAGAGCAAGTCACCCTGAAGTTCTTCCTCATGCTAAAATCCCACTGCATCTCACTCTTCACTCATTGGCCTGAAGTGTATGGATGCTGGAAGACACCTCATGACACCTTGTTTGCTAGTGAAATTAGTACTTGTGAGAAAGGCTGAGTTGAAAGCCCTGGAGACTTAAATCCTGCACCTGAGAGATCGATGGCTCTGAAATTCACCCCCTTCCAGTTTTGTCCCAAATAGTCCACATTTGTTGAACTTCAGGGCATGCTGCAAAATTCATCTATGTGGTAAAGGGGAGGCAGTGTGGCCTACTGGAGTGTGACTCAGGAAACCGGGGTTCTATTCTTGGCTCTGCCACTGGCCTGCTGGGTGATCTTGGGCAAGTCACTTTACCGCTCTGTGCCTCACTTTCCCCATCTGTAAAATGGGAATAATGTTACCTCTTTGGTAAATGGAAAGATTCTTGATAGATTAGGACCCCAAATGATCTTCTTTAACCTATTTAGCTTTCCTATGACATTGCCCTTGAAGAACTACGAGAGCTCTTTAATTTACCTGTGCCTAGGAATATAACATCATACTGCCCATCTTCCGCCATGACATGATCCACCACAATCTGCGTCAGCCTGTAGTCCACATTGATTCTAGTAAATACAGGTCCTCCAGTCACCGGGTAAACCGACTTGTACATTAATGGATGGCGTTTTATAAAACTAATGACATCATCTGGAAAATCTCTGGTAGATTTAATCAAGGGGTCATAAGTTTTGCTTGGGCACTGAACACAAGAAAGGGAAAAAGAAGATAAAAAAGACATTAAGAAAAAATATTGATTACTTTGAAGCGTTCATTTCTGTGATAGGAAAACTTATTCACAAACAGTGCAGGGAGATAAATGAATGTTTAGTATAATGGAAAAAAATGTCTCATTCACTTGGAAACAGTGTTTAACATATAGGGTGCTTAGGGTGACCAGATGTCCCGATTTTATAGGGACAGTCCCGATATTTGGGACTTTTTCGTATATAGGAGCCTATTGCCCCCACCCCTCTCCCGATTTTTCACACTTGCTGTCTGGTCACCCTAAGAGTGCTACACAGAGCCCACTGAAGTCAGTGAGAGCTGCTGGGTGCTAAGCCCTATTGAAAAATGAATTACTTGTTTACATGCCTAAATACGAATTAGGAGTGTAACTTTAGACAACCATTGTTTTTAAACCTTGGCTTTTGTGTGTATATTGTAACTGTTTATAAAGCATGAATGACAGCGATAAACCCAAGATTTCATCCAGAGGGAAAATAATTTGGCCTAGAATTGGAATAGCTCATGTTGTTTCAAGTTTTCTAGTCACCAATGCGTGGAAACACACTGGGCTGTTCAAAAAGACCATCCAAGAACTCTCTGCATTGGGTTCTTCAGCTTGCCACTTTCCCCCTTGTTTTTCCACTCCCCTCTCCTCTTGTCATTTGTCTTTAAAAGCCTGTCCCTTTTATCCTCATTTCTGTTTTTCTCTGCTCCACTGATTTTCCTTTAGCTTCTAAAACTCTCTGAAACTTTATCATTTGTTTCCACTAGTCCATTGCCACTTCATCTCAGTAATATAAATTTCAGACCCTCGCACTATCACTCTTTCACAAAGGAGATGCAGTTTCTGGTGTCACTTATTCACCTGGCCAATCCAGCAGCCCTTTCTCAGACAGACCTTCCACTGACGTCAGTGGGAGTGCAGGTCAGTTGTCAGGTTGGGATAGTAAGGATTGGCAGGCAGTGTTAGTAGGAAGGCTTTGTCTAGCAGGCACTATATGAAGCTCTAATAGGGGCTATAGGAATTCAAGCACTCAGACTCTATTTTCCTCCATTCAAGAAAAAAAGTCTGTTAATGAAACTTATTTTAAAAAAGTTACCTTTGGGACTTAAGATATATCAGTAAATAGGTGTGAAGACCACAATCAAAGAGTCTGTCTGTGCCCTCTTCTAACAATCTGTGTGACTATTACAGATATTGTTACGTTTATACTACTATCACCAATCATGGTGTCAACGGTTACTTATTTATTAATTATTACTATTATTGATCTGGTCCATGCCAGCAGTGTGCTCAGGGTTGTACGTGGCACATTTTAAAGGGCTTTTCAACAGACATTTGGATAATGAAGAGTGAACAGTTTTCAGCCAAAAATGATAAAGTAACGTAAGAAAAAACTCCCACAAATTTCTGATGTTCAAGATTTTTGTAACTATTTTCAGTGTTAAAAGTAGAGGTCCAAGGTGTCTTTTCTTAATCAGGCCTCAGTCCTAAGCATCAGTGGGAATTCAGGGTGCTCAGCACAGAACCTCACACTATTAATATGTTTCAGAGTAGCAGCCGTGTTAGTCTGTATCCGCAAAAAGAACAGGAGTACTTGTGGCACCTTAGAGACTAACAAATTTATTAGAGCATAAGCTTTCGTGGGCTACAGCCCACTTCTTCGGATGCATATAGAGTGGAACATATATTGAAGAGATGTATATACACACACATACAGAGAGCATGAACAGGTGGATGTTGTCTTACCAACTCTGAGAGGCCAATTAAGTGGAAGCAAGACTTTGTTTGCTATTTGTGCAGTCATGGAAAGTGTCTGCTGAATATCAGGAGAACTTCCTGACAGGGACACTCCACCATGGAAGAGCTAGAGGCCCATTACTTCAGATTGTTTAACAATGAGTCAGACAAGTGAACTGGGTATGGAAGAGAGGGAGAAAGGAAAGACCTATTATATTGTCTACCCATTTTACTTCGATCAGTGTGTGTTTTTCAACAGTTAGCCTACAGTGCCCTCTGGTGCTTTTCAACGGAAAGTCCCCAGCTTCTTAAATCCGAATTGCCTGGATACAAATACAAGACATGCTTCTTTTCATCACTGTCTGTGCTGTTGCTTAATTGTTTAGGGCCACAGGATACCCTGATCTACACACCACAGAGAGGAGTAAAAGAAGGCAGAAAAGATCCAAAACTGAAGTGGGAGAAATGTAAACAGAAGTATTTCAGAAGATTGTCTCAAGAGACCACAGAGACCCAACAGCCTCTCGCCAATGTTGGGGTTCTGTAGCGCTGGTGCAGTGGGGCTGAACAGGGGAGCAGTCACTCTTTAGTGGCCTGTTCCCTGGCACATTTCCTAGTGGGAATCTACTCAAAAGTTACAGCTGCTAAAACAGCACCCTCTGCATTACTGAAGCAGAACTGTTTAATCATACTCCCCTTGTTTGCATTTGTCTGTTATACAGCTCTCTTCTACTATTTTTGTCCTGTGTAGGGAGTTGCAGACTGTGCTCAAGCCACCTTTTAGCTTTCTCTTGTATAACGTAATCAGGTTGAGATCCTTGTGTCTCTTGTCGTAAATCAGGTTTTCCAGACCCCAAATCATTCCTGTAGCTCTTCTCTGAACCTTCTCCAGTTTTTCAGCATCCTTTTTTATAGCATGGACACCAGAACTGGGCACAGCATTCTGACTGATGAAGGCCTTTAAAGTGAACATTGCTGCTTACTATACATGTGATAAAAATGATAAAAATAATCCCTGTGCTTCCTGCCAGATGGAGCCACAACACCCTTTGTGAGAAGGGACATCTGACAAAGGAGTCTGTCCATAGTGCGCTAGGGCAAAATTAAGGCTTGTGATGAGGTGATTTGCAATCATCCTCTGCAGCTGATTTAAGCAAACAGAATAGAAACTAGGGTTGCCAACTTTCTAATCCCACAAAACAGAACACCCTTGCGCCACCCCTGGCCCTGAGGCTGTGCCCCTGCCCCTTCTCTGAGGCCCCTCTCCCTGCTCACTAAATCTCCCCTTCCTTCTTTCTCTTGCTCTGTCCCACCCTCACACACTTTGACTGGGTTGGGTCAGGGGGTTGGGGTGTGGGAGGAGATGAGGGCTCTGACTGGGGGTGTGGGCTCTGGGGATGAGGGGTTTAGGGTGCAGGAGGGGGCTCCGGGCTGGGGTAGGGGGTTGGGGTGTGAGAAAGGGCATGTAGTATGGGCTCTGGGAGGGAGTTTGGGTGTGGGAGGGGTCTCAGGGCTGAGGCAAGGGGCTGGGGTGCAGGAGTGGGTGCGGGGTGTGGTCTTCATGAGGGAGTTTGGGTGAGGGACGGGGCTCAGGGCTGGGGCAGGGGGTGCGGGCTTACCTCAGGCGGCTCCCGGAAGTGGCTGGCATGTCCATCTCCTAGGCGGAGAGGCCAGGAGGATCCATCCGCTGCCCGCGCCCACAAGCACTGTTCCCACAGCTCCCATTGGCTGCAGTTCCCAGCCAATGGGCACTGTGGAGCCGGCACTCAAGGCAGGGGCAGCACATGGAGCCTTCGTGGCCGCCCCTACGCCTAGGAGACGGACATGCCAGCTGTTTCTGGGAGCCACAGGGAGCCAGGGAGCCTGCCTTAGCCCCACTGAACTGCCAACTGGACTTTTAGTGGCCCGGTCAGCGGTGCTAACCGGACGCACATGGGTCCCTTTTCGATCAGGCATTCCGGTCGAAAACTGGATGCCTGGCAACTCTAAATAGAACTCATCTCACAAAACACATTTTTCAAATATCAAATGTGCAATTTGACAGATAGCCTAACTCTCTGGTGCCAATTAAGGACTCAGCGGTTAGAACTTGCTACATTACATAAGGTTTGGCAACATTTTAAACATTCATACTCTGTACAGTAAATACTATGCCATGACTGAGCCTGCCCCTCCCTTCATGGTTTGTGTGCATTACTAGCATACAGGTAACAATCAGACTTATTTTGCCGATAAAGTAGAGACTTTCTGGCAAATGATTATTGACAGTGGCGGCTCCAGGCACCAGCGCTCCAAGCGTGTGCCTGGGGCAGCAAGCCACTGGGGGCACCCTGCCAGTCCCTGCGAGGGCGGCAGTCAGGCTGCCTTCAGCGGCATGCCTGCGGGAGGTCCACCGGTCCCGTGTATTCGGTGGCAGGTACGCCGAATCCACGGGACCGGCAGACTGCCCGCAGACATGCCGCCGAAGGCTGCCTTCCGTGCTTGGGGTAGCAAAAAAGCTAGAGCCGCCCCTCATTATTGAGGCCTCTCTTTTGATAACTAGACAGCTACAAGGAACAAGTTTCTTCTGGCAGATCAATACCAGATCTGCACTCTGAGACAGTGCTCTGTATACGTGCAATGAACTGGCATTGATATCAGGGATAGTTCTATATATGCACAGCAGAGAAACCACAAGATCGGAGCCAGGACTGCTGACGGGGGAAAGAAAGGGCAATTGCACAGGGGCCCGGGTGATTTAAAAGGGCCCAGGGGGCCCCGGCCGCTGCCACCGGCAGCAAAGTGGAGCTAAAGCAGGCTTCCTGCTCTCCCTCACTCTGCGTTTCTCCTGGAAGTGGCCAGAATGGCCCTCCGGTAGGCGGAGGGGCAGGGGGTCTCTGCGTGCTGCCCCCACACAACGCCGACTCCGCAGCTCCCATTGGCCGGGAACTGCGGCCAATGCGAGCTGTGGGGGTGTTTCCTGTGGGCAGCAATGCACAGAGACTCCCTGAGCCCCCCACCTAGCAGCTGCAGCCAGAGGGGTGTGCCGGTCACTTTCGGCAGCCACACAAGGTAAGTGCCGACCTCCTGCCCCCCTCCTACACCCCAACCCCCTGCCTTAGCCTAGAGCCCACACCCAAACTCCCTCCCAGAGCCCACACTCCGCACCCCCTCCTGCAACCAAACTCCCGCCCAGAGCCTGCACCCCGCACCCTCTCCTGCATCCCAACTCCCTGCCCCAACCTGGTGAAAGT